TACCCATTTCATAAATTCTGGAAGATTTACATATGTTTTAAAGAAAACTCAAATTTACCCAAAATTATTGTGTATTAAAACAGATCAAAAACATTTATTTAGTTGAAGAGCGATATTTTAGGTTTGATTTTAATTTCAATAAATTAATTTTTTAATGTGGAAGATTTTCTTACTGAAAAAGTAACATCAACAAAACATTTTAGGTTAGAAAAATATTTTATTCAAACAGAATAATTATTATCTTCAAAAGTAATGGATTAATGTCTTTCATTACATAAATTATATTCTTAACATTTCAAATTTCATAGACTGCAGACATTATATTAATCATTAAATTTTGTTCCTTTATTCTTTTATTCTATCAATATTGATGGTTATCAATGTTGGTGCACTTAAATGAACAAATTTACTTATACCAATTAAATAATAAAATCTGGAAAATTAAGGAAGATCCCTATAAAGCAATGAAAACAAACCAATGAAGCTTGTTTTAAAGAACTTATGTGTCATAAATTTTGTCCAAAGTACCCGTCCCTAGATTTGCCACTAAAATGCCACCCTTTTCAATGGTGGAGTATTTAGACAATTTTCCACCAATAATGCCACCAAAACGCCACCAGAACGCCACCCAAATCATGAAAATGGTGGAAAATTTGAGTAGGACTGATGTTATATAATTTTCCAGTTAATTCCACCTTTTTTACACTAAATGCCACCAATTAGTGGAAAATTGGTGGAGTATTTAGACAAACTTTCACCATAATGCCACCATTATGCCACCTAAAGGGTGGCAAACTCATTTTCCACTAGATGCCACTTGTTTCCACTTATTGCCACCATAATGGTGGAAAATTGGTGGAGTATTTAGACAAATTTCCACCATTATGCCACCATTGAGTGGCAAACTTATTTTCCACCAAATGCCACTTATTTCCACCTTTTGCCACCATAAGGGTGGAAAATTGGTGGAGTATTTAGACACTTTTCCACCATTTTGCCACCAGATAGTGGCAAATTCAGTTTCCACTAAATGCCACCTATTTTCACCCTTTCAGAAATTTTCCACCTTGTGGGTGGCAATAGCTGGAAACTGCTTGAAAGTCACCCTGTACCCTAAATTGGAAACAAACAAATTTTAAAAATAATCCTTTTTAATGTTTCCATATGAAATTATATATTGTCTCAAAAAATAGCAAAACATTAGTCCATTTATTTTCTTCAGTTTATCTTGCTATTCCTGGACGGTTTGAGTTCAGTCCTTTAGGTTGTCGGCAACTTTTCGAGCGCACAATCTAAAACAAAAAAAATTATGAATGATTAATACAATTATTAAAAACATAAGCTTACATTTTTATATGACTATTGGATATTTCTATATTCAATTTGAGTGCATAGATATGATTAAAACACTTTAAAAAACAGCACTGCAGACGTGGAAGAATCAGACTTTTCTTATTTACTCCAAGGCAGAAAATATACGCAGAATCAAAAATGATATTTTCATTCAGTTCATTAGTTACCTTCCAAGAACTTAAGTTTTGCCTTGTCTGCACAAGAAGGTCTGGCGCCAGACTCTCTGTTCCCTTTCCTCATCCCAAACAATGAGCGGCCTTTAATCTCTTCTATATTGAATAGCATTCTGAAGAGCTTTGCTGTACCTTTCTCTTTTGAGGCATATGGCTTCAGTTCTGCCATCACTTGGTCCTAAAATATAATTATCAATATCCATAAAGTAAAGACAGAAAATGATTATCAATATCTAATATGTAAAGACAGAAAATGAAACAATTTTATAAGATTGGTATATGTATACAACTCTAAAATTTTAAAATAAGAAAGAAATAAAGAAATACAACACATCAACACCAGTGCAGGTTGAGTAATTAATAATCTTCCAGTTTCAGTTCTTAACGCACCTTCATCAGGATAAATATTTGATAAAATTTTCAAGCTAAAATGTACAAAAACTCTAAAATTTGTAAAACAAAATGTAAATGCAAATTAAAGTGTCATAAAGAGTTTGAATTAAAAAAGGTTTGTAAATAGTGACTAATAGCTATATTTATCAAGAACTGAAAAGTGTCTTATTGGGTACTGTGACACTTCTTTCCTATTAATTCTAAAATAACTTTGAATTAACAAGATACCTTTGTAAAGCCACTGAAGATCAAATGTGTTGCTCCAGACTGCTCCTCATTGCTTTGTGTCTGCAAAATAATAATTCTTATTTAATGCTGTTTCTGTTATGAACTGTCATTCTCCTAATAGCATGTTACTCTAGACTGTCTAGTTATGGTTATATAATTATCTACTGCACCATGAAAGCTGAATTACAACAATGAAGGAATGAAACTTACTAATAAATCAGTTACTGTTAATCTGCTCCACATGTGACACACAAGGGAAATTGTTTATAGCATGAAAGTTGTAGTAATAGGTACCTCAGGTTATCTATAGTTTGATTGATGTAATATTGTACATAATGATATTGTACTTACTGATTAATTTCTATAATTTTTTTCTCAAACTTAAAATTTCTAACATATTGTATTTAAGAAATGATGAAGATCTTCCTACATTCTTTATATTCCTACATTCTTTATATGTACATTGTACATGCAGCTTTCCTTTTAGTCAAGTTACAAACAAAACAAATATAAAACACAATTTTATACAATACCACTTCATATTTTTACTGTCAAAAAACTAAACAGTTTCTGCATAAATAACAATAATTATTGTATGTAAAAGTTGTTTACCTGAAACTTTGACTGGGAATGATTCTGCAGTTTATCTTCTTGTCTACACATTCACACTTCAGTTAAAACTTCTCATTTCTATTTACCACACTAATAAGACTTTAAATGTTTTCTTTGAGAAATCAAAAATATGCACCCTTACATTTTAAACAAAATATCTCCAGAATTGCTACAATATCAATAATTTCCTTTGTGTTTGCAAGCTTTAGCTGACCTCAATTCCTTTGAATTCAAACTTTACAACGGTGTAACTGCATGGACAGTCCATTATAATTTTAAATTGTGAGGGATTTTCCAAAAACCATAGCACCCATCATTTTATTTTTTACATTCATTTGAATGTATAACTATATCTAATACCTAAATAGATTGAGTAGAAATAAGCTTTTGAAAGATAATTTAGCATGCTATTTTAAGACAAATTCTACATAAAAACATGTATAATGTTGCCTCTCCCAAAATAATCAAATGGAACATTCTGGTCAGCATGAGTAAACTATTAACCCCCATTCATAGATTACTAGATAAGAGGGCAGTAGTTTTATCAGATCTGAGATGTATGCTGTGTTGTTAAATCTTAGAGGATGCAGTATTTACTAGCTAGTAGTTACTTATCCTGATTGTAAGAAATTTATCAGACATTATGACTTATTTACTTTTCACACAATAATTTTTACAATAGATTTAAAGCCTCTGAAAGCATAGCACAAAAGATGTTAGAGACAATAATTTTAAACTCCACATATAACTAAATCTCATTTATGAGAAGTTACAATGCCAAGGAACCATAACTTTTTATTGCATGATTTGGGGTTTATTGCCATTTTTTACTTCTCTATGCTTAATTTTTGTCTTGATCATTAAGCTTAAAAAGTACTGGAGATATTAATTTGAAACTTCACAGATATAGATCTTTTTGAGTAATGTGCTGTGTTTAAGAACCATAACTCTTTGCATACTTTTGGAGTTATTGCCCTTTGCATTTTTCACTTTAATTATTGTTAGCATTACATGAAAAGTGTTAGTACTCACCAGATATCAGTTTAAAGTAATTATGAAGAGACAATTTATTATGTCAATTAGAAGAAAAGACAAAAGTCAAACTTTATTCAAGATTGACATTAAATATCATAGAAGAAGCAACAAACTTTATGCAAAGATATGCATTTTCTGGGCATAGAAGAACATTTCAACTATTTAATGTACAGATTATAACTAAAGAACAAAGTACACTTTAAAAGCCGTAATTTTATTTTCACTTGATGCTTTGGTAGAGTACAAACTATAAACAGATTTATTTCAGTTTGGAGCTTTGACTTAAATAAATCTTAAACCCTGCAATTCACAATTATTAGATTTCTCAGTTTTTTCCACCAATTTTTATACAACCCAGAAAATAGTTAAGAGTTTCCCTTTTCGACTAAAAGTTATTCACAAAATTTTCTAAGTTTTTTTCCACTATTTTGCCACCCAGAAAATAGTTAGAGTTTCACTTTTCCACTAAAAGCCACTCATTTTCCACCTTCAAAATAAACTAAGTTTCATTTTTCACCAATTTCCACCCTTTTGCCACCATAAAAAAAGTCTATGTTCAAATTTCCACTCAATGCCACCTAAATGCCACCAAAGGATAGTGGCATTTGGTGGCAATTTTGCCACTACAGTGGAAAAAGAGTGGAATTTTGTCATTTTCCAGTTAATGCCACCTTTTTTACACTTAATGCCACCCTTTTCAGTGGAAATAGCTGGCAAGTAGTGGCAAATCTAGGGACGGGTAATCGACCACCAATAATGTAACTTTTGAAAGGCTGTACAGATATAACTGTAAAAAGCATTAGTAATCTTGAAATGTGTCCATAGGACACGGGTGCCCCCACACTCCACTGTTTTGTCAATCTTATAACTCGAGGTCAAATATTTTTTGGGCTACGCATGACACAAGTTGAAAACTGAAAATCATTTGCTATGTGAAGGGAAAGAATTTTTCAAATGCTGTATAAATTCACAATCAAACACCCAGTTGCACATTACTACACATGCCAACCAACATTTCCGTGAAGTTTCATGATTTAAGGTCAATTCCTTTATGAGCTACACATGACCCAAGTTGAAAATTTCAAAAAAATTCACAACTTCAAGGGCAATAACTCTAGAAATATTGGATAAATCCACAAGCAAAAAAAAGATGCACAACTAAACATACAGAGTAACATTCCGGTAAAGTTTCATGACCCTAGGTCAAATACTTTTTATATGCCCGAAAGGGCATATTATGTTATACCCCCTGGCGTCCGTCTGTCTGTCTGTCTGTCCGTCCGTCCGTCCGTACGTCCGTCCGTCCGTTAGCAATTTGGTTTCCGGAGCATAACTTAAGTTCCATTTGGCCCACAATGTTCAAACTTCATAGGATGATTGTCCATATTGGGTAGAAGACCCATATTGATTTTGGGGTCAAAAGGTCAAAGGTCAAGGTCACTATGACCTTAAAACTGAAAACAGTTTTCGGAGCATAACTTAAGTTCCATTCGACCCACAATGTTCAAACTTCATAGGATGATTGTCCATATTGGGTAGAAGACCCCTATTGATTTTGGGGTCACAAGGTCAAAGGTCAAGGTCACTAACACTTTGATACTGAAAACAGTTTCCGGAGCATAACTTAAGTTCCAATTGGCCCACAATCTTCAAACTTCATAGGATGATTGTCCATGTTGGGTAGAAGACCCCTATTGATTTTGGGGTCAAAAGGTCAAAGGTCAAGGTCACTATGACCTTTAAACTGAAAACAGTTTCCGGAGCATAACTTAAGTTCCATTCGACCCACAATGTTCAAACTTCATAGGATGATTGTCCATATTGGGTAGAAGACCCCTATTGATTTTGGGGTCACAAGGTCAAAGGTCAAGGTCACTATTACCTTGATACTGAAAACAGTTTCCGGAGCATAACTTAAGTTCTAATTGGCCCACAATGTTCAAACTTCTTAGGATGATTGTCCATATTGGGTAGAAGACCCCTATTGACTTTGGGGTTACAAGGTCAAATGTCAAGGTCACTATTACCTTAAAACTGAAAACAGTTTCCGGAGCATAACTTAAGTTCCATTCGTCCCACAATGTTCAAACTTCATAGGATGATTGTCCATATTGGGTAGAAGACCCCTATTGATTTTGGGGTCACAAGGTCAAAGGTCAAGGTCACTTTTACCTTGATACTGAAAACAGTTTCCGGAGCATAACTTAAGTTCCATTTGGCCCACAATGTTCAAACTTCATAGGATGATTGTCCATATTGGGTAGAAGACCCCTATTGATTTTGAGGTCAAGGGTCAAGATCACTATATCCTTAATACTGAAAACAGTTTCCGGAGCATAGTTCCATTTGGCCCACAATATTCAAACTTCATACGATGATTGTCCATATTGGGCAAAAGACCCCTATTGATTTTGGGGTCACTAGGTCAATGGTCAAGGTCACAATTACCTTTAAACCAAAAACAGTTTCCGGAGCATAACATAAGTTCCATTTGGCTCACTTTATTCAAACTTCATAGGATGATTGTCCATATTGGGTAGAAGACCCCTATTGATTTTGGGGTCACAAGGTCAAAGTCACTTTTACCTTAATACTGAAAACAGTTTCTAGAGCATAATTAAAGTTCCAATTGGCCCACAAAATTCAAACTTCTTAGGATGATTGTCCATATAAGGTAGAAAACCCCTATTGATTTTGGGGTCACAAGGTCAAAGGTTAAGGTCATTATTAATAACTATTAATCAACCTACAGCTGTAAAATTTTATAGGATGAACAGCTTATTCCCATGTCTTACAAATGCTTCATCCTTACTAAAAAAAAACACTTTCGGGCATATAATGCTCCGCCTAGCGGTGCTCTTGTTGAGCTATGTGCGACACAAATTAAAAATTGTAATTTTTACTAAGTCAAGGGCAATAATTTTGACAAAACAGAATATTACACAAGCAAAACCCCAGGTGCACAATTTCACTTGCTGAGCAACATTCCTGAAAAAGTTTCAAGCCTCTAAGTCAGATACTTTTTGAAACATGTGCAACGCAAGTTAAAAATTGCCAATTTTTACTAAGTCAAGGGCAATAACTCTACAAATACTGAATAAATCCACATGCATATACCCAGGTGCAAAACGTCATGCTGACTAACATTCCTGTAAAGTTTCATGACCCTAGATCAAGTACTTTTTGTGTAACTTGCTACAAAAAACAACATGTATATGAGGGGTGTTTAAAAAAGCTCATAAGACATAATGATATCCCCCTAAACAAAGGCAACTGGTCCACTTTTACATTTTCCCATTTTGTGGCCTTTGCTGCCATTAATAAGTTGACTTTTATTCTTGTCCAAAGTTCAAAACAATGATTATGCAAACTGCAGACAGATTTATACACTTCTAAATAACATTTTGATTACCTTACACAATAAAAGGCCTATTGCTGCTTGCAAAAATAGGCCCAAGTGATTTTTTAGAAGTATTTTAGTCACATGAAGTGAGTTGAAAATAAACTTTTATGATTCTGTAAAGCAGCATGCCTCCAGATTCATGCCAATGCTCATGAATTTTTTTTTTTGTACCGCTTCCGTGG